GTGCCGGTTAGGATGGCAACGTGACGATGCAAGTATAATGTATGAGCGGGGCGTGTTACGACAAACTCAGACCGGTTAGGATACCGCTATTTCATTGTTTTAAAGAAATTCCTTTGAATATTTAATTTGTTAAAAAGAAAAATCTGAAAGTGATTATCCATTACATTTATATTATTTTAAAATATACTTTAGATGATTTATGCAACCTAATTGGATTGTTTTTAGGAGTAGTGTCTTTGCCAACTAAACATATTCAAAAAATAATAATTTTTCAATGTTAGATTAAATTAATCGAAAAATATGAAAATTTATATATACTATTTGTTCCAATAGTCATCTATATCATAATAAATAATAATATTTTTTGGTAATTAGAGAATTTTATTACCAAGCAAATATCACTATAATAAAAAGGGGAAATTGTGCATTATAGCAAACTATTAATTCAGAATAAATATTATAGCTATAGTTTCATTTAAATCGAATTCACTACAAACTTCTTGTCATTCGCCTCTCTCTGGAATCTCGCTCGTCACTCTCCTCTTTTTCAGTTATCTCTCCCTCGCCTCTCTCGCTTTGTACAAACACAAATGCATAATTAATTTGTGTTTGTACAAAGTGAGAGAGACTGTATATACAAATACAAATATATATCTCTCCGTCCTATACACATATAATAATACAAATACAATTTTTTCCCTGCCCAGTTCTCTTTTGCCTTTCTCTTTGTTGCTTTATACAAACACAAATTATACAAATACAAATGTTTTAACTCGATTCAATTGTATAGAATTCAATTTTTATGCAGATATACAAAATACAATCATTGATACATATACATAGTAGTTACATATATACACTTATCTAATCGATTTACATATACAGTTTACCTCTCTCCACTTTGTGCCCTCTCTTGCTCGCCTCTCTCCTCCCTCTCCCAATCTCGCTCGCCACTCTAGCCTAACACAGAGAACATATACATATACAAACACAATTTTCATAGACAGACGAATTAGCGCCCAATTTATACAAATCGCCGCGATTTATACCAATCAAATGCTCCATAGCAAACATAATTTGGTTATATGGAGTGCATGCAAATAACAAAATTGTAGCTATAGAGCGCTAATATGATTTTTATTTTTGCTATTCCTATAATTTACTCTAATAAAACCAGTTTTAATGGCAATAAATATACAAATTAACAAAGAGTGCTAAAGTCTTTACGGACATTAGTTAATTGTCATAATATTCAATGTCGTTATAGGATTTAGGAACACCTGCAAAAAATGTCAATTACCGCTAATTATATATGGCTAAAGATAATTTTTGGTGTAGTGTGTTTATCAAATAACTAAAGACGTAGTACATATGCCCCCAACACCAGTCTGTCAAGCATATTTGCAACATCCCATCATAAACATATTTATTTAAAATGTGTTAACAAATAAACATTTTTCATATCACACTAAATATATATTTTTATCAATATATTTTTTAATATTTATATAATAGTTTTTAATTCTTATATTTCTTTCAAACCTATTCAAAAGATTTATTGAAAATAACTTTTATATCATACAAATGGAGATCATGTCTGTATATATACACTGGTCTACTCTTCTCATGTTCCACTTATGAGACTATATTAAATACGGTTACTGAAGAGTCGTCCAACTTTTCAGTGACCGAATAAGAGAGGTTTTTACCACTTTCTCTTCTCTCCAGCACTCTCGAACGTTATAAATAGTTCTTCTTATAGTATGACGCTAATTATTTTCTCTTTAAATAGATATTCACAAGCACATGTTTCAGACTTTCAGGTAAAGTTGTCCTTCAAGAATAATTTGTTATTTGGGGATTCAAACATGAAATCTGCATATCATGATTATTATTGTGATTCGTGACTTGACGTCCTTGAAGGGACATAAATTGTTAATTTTCACCCTTTAATGTCAAATATGTAGTCTTTGGTAAAATATTTTAATAAATTCTAAGACGACTAATATTTAAATTAAAGAGAGAGTTCAACTTGGTAACATTATATGTTTATTATTCTATCATAGTAAAATTTCCAAATCGCTTTAGTTCCTCTTTTTTTCAATTGAATACTGTTTCACGTTAGATAATATAGCATTAACTATGGTTTGTGGAATTGATGGAAATAACAATATTTAGATGTTACGTACTCCCTTTTTTTTTTTTTTGTTGCTAAGATCAGATTAAGTGTTGTGCGACAAGTTCGATTGGAAAACGTTTTTTTTTTTTTAATTTTTTTTATCTTCATTCCTTTGTAACTGTGATTTTTTTAATTTTCAAAAATGGTTGAAGTTGAAGATCTGGACCCTAATTTCCATTTTAGTAAAATAAAAAATTCATTTTATTCTTCTTTGCCAGGTATATTCCAAAAGTGAAAAAAGTAGAGTGCAATTAACTTCAATTAAAAAAGACATGAACCATTTCTGAAGCGACTCTACTTAATTGATTTTGTAGTCTTCTACAAATTGGTTTTAAATTTTATGTGTTTTTAGAATAAAAGATTTTTATATTTTACATATAAGACATCTCAAATAATATGAGATCTCTGAAAAAATCATTTTTTTATTTTAAAATTGTACAAGTGACCATAAAAAAATATTTCCTCCTTTCTTTCTACGATGAGTTTAATAATTGAAGTGCACTAGTATAAGCTATAAAGAAACAATAAACTAATTAGTCCCGTCTTTATCTTTTTTCCTTTTTAAATGAGCTACCTTTTCTAAAAGTACATAGAAATAATGCAAGAGGAATCAATTAGGTATACATATACTTATAGCACCATATATATAAAGTGGGACAAAAAAAATATTACTATCATTATTTTATTTATTACTTTTGGTAAACTAAACCTTTCTTTTAGATTAGTTGCCACTACTAAAAGTGTTTTTTTTTTTTTGAGAAAAATAATTGTGAAAGAAAGTAGTAACAAAAGTGGTGCCAAAAAAAGTTGTACGGAGTAGTTTGTATACATAGAGAAGCAACGTAATCATAGAATGCGTCATATATATACGTAAAAAAAGGTATGAAGTGATAAAAGCAAAAATGGTCAAATTTATCTTTTCACCAAATAACATTTGAAAAAATTACACTGTGATTATTATCATGGTTTAAATTTAACTTTTTGGACATTGCCAAATCACACTTGATGTTCGATGTATAGATGCATAGAACATCAATTGTAATAAAGTGATAAAAATATATATAATTTTTCTTTTCATAAAATTCATTAATTTCGTAAAAATGGATTAATTCGTTTATATAATATTGTCGGTTAAGATTAAAAAAATCACAGAAATTTAGAAATCTAAAAAGCAATTAACCCGTTTATTTCCTATTCATGACATGCATTGGTGGTTCAATTATTGTTACTTGAAGTAGGTGAAATTTATAAAAATAAGGCGGAACCCATCGGTGCCTCCTTAAGTTGGCACCAATTTTCACTTAAGATACATCAACTTAACTTTGTTTATTTTAGACACCTTATGTCATATCCCGCTATGTCATTTTGACACTTTTTGTTGACATGTCATGGAGAGTGTAATACACTCATTACTAGCGCGTAAAAGGCTTATTTAATTGTTTTTATTTTAATTTTTTTCATCTTCTTCCTATTTTTCTGCCATCATCTCCCAAAACTTAAACTCCTTTTATGGAGAAATAAATTTGATAATGCTATAGACCAAAAAAATGAATTTGAACCCATAGACTTATAATATAATGATATAATAAAAATTAAAAGTAGACAATGTGAAGACCCCTACTATCGTAAAGAAGAAGAAAAATGGAAAGTCATGAATTCATGAATAATCTCAAATTAGATTTGAGTAGTGGTATGTGTGGGTTTGTTATTCTATTCGAGAAGATGGTGTGGGTGGGGAAGGGGTTGGGGTTAGGGTGGGTAGAGGTGGAGAAGACGCTGGGTGGGTGGGGGAAGAGTGGAGAAAACACAGGGGTCGGGGTGGGTGGGGTGGAGAAGATGATCTGGGTGGGGTTGGGTTATTCTATTTTTAAAGTCTTTTGGGCAAAAATTCCACGTGTCATTCACTCATTTGTCACTTCCTTTTTGTACTAAAAATCATTATTTGAGAATTATATATATATGCCACGTGTTTTTATTTAATTCGTCATGTTGACACATCATCTGCGAGTGTATTACAAACACTTTATATATTTGACTGATAGTTAAAAAAGTGTCAAAATGTCACAATGGACCATGACATGAAGTGTCTAAAATGAACAAAACTTAGTTAAGGTGTCTAAGTAAAAATTAGTGCCAACTTTAAGGGGCTATCAATGGGTTCAGCCTAAAAATAATTGAGAGATTAAACACACTGAGAAATGATACTAAAATAATTGCTTTTCTATTATTTTAATCTGAAATAGCTGAAATTAATGACCAAGTTTTTTTCCATAAAACTTTTTTTTTTTAATTTAGAAAAACTTGACTATGCATGACTGCATGAGGGTCCTATCTCGTCATGTTATGTCGAGGTAAGATGTCAGGTAGGATTTCAACTTGTAAAGAAGACCCAAAAACAATATGGTATACACTCTTTTTGCTTTAAAATAAGATACATTAAAGTTCAAATTCAATTCATCATATATAGGTTCTGAAATTGTAACCAATGCATAAGACTTGACATGTGCTTTATGGACGTATGTACATGACATAAATAAATGAATATATACTCTTTTTCCTATTTTTTGGGTACGAAGTCGCCTTTGTTAAGCACTACTTTACCCCAATATGATTTTTTCCGGTACGAATTTAAATTTAGTCGAACTTCAATGTGAGTATCGAATATTGAATACCGAATGAAAAAGAGAAAAAACACTTTATTTGGTTACCTAAAATTTCCCTTTGTCACTACTCACAACATCCATCACTTTTCTTAATTCAAACATACATGGCAATATGCAAAGCTTTTATCTTCTTTTCTCATCCATATATATATATATGGTACATACACCTCCAGTTTTGCTCATTAATTTCTTCATTCCCCAAAATTCTGTTAGTCATCAAAATGCAAAATCCAGAAGATCACCACTCTGACAGGGAGCTTAGTAGTCCCTCAAACACCACCAAATCTAACGATGACAAGAATGTCGAAATCACCCTTGATATCCGTGATGACACCATGGCAGTCCACAGTGTCAAAAATGCCACTAAGACTAAAGCAGAGGAAGCAGAGCTTGAGGCACTGGGCAAAAACCTGCAGAAAAAGTGCAGTTTTGGGGCCACAATCGTCAGAAATGTTTCGATGAGGATGCGGTTGCCTTCTTTCAAGAGACAACCGCATCCTCCTCGGACATTTGATAGGAGTTCAACAGCAGCTCAGAATGCTCTCAAAGGCTTCAAATTTATCAGTAAGACTGATGGTGGCTCTGGATGGGACACCGTCCAACAGCGCTTCGACGAGCTTACTGCCACCTCAGATAGCTTACTGCCTCGGGCAAAATTTGGAGAATGCATAGGTAAAAGGCCCCGAGTTTAGCTTTTATGCACTGACAATGTATAAGTACAAGTAAATATTGATCATATAGGGTAAATAATTACTTGTGGGATTTCACCGGATATGTTGTTGTTGATGATTTTCAATGATAGGCATGAACAGGGAATCTGAGGGATTTGCACTAGAGCTTTTTGATGCGTTAGCTCGGAGGAGAAATATAACAAGTGGTTGCATCAGCAAAGAACAGCTCAAAGAGTTTTGGGACCAAATTGCTAACCAAAGCTTTGATTCCCGGCTTCGAACCTTTTTTGACATGTAACTTATTAAAATATTACCATCACGTCTTTTGATCGAGTAGTTGTACAGTAGTTGTTCACTCTAATAAATTAATTTTCGGATTCTGATTTTTGTGAGGATGTAATACAGGGTTGATAAAGATGCAGATGGTAGACTTACAGAAGAAGAAGTCAGAGAGGTATTTGGGATTCCATATATTTATCTATCTTATCTAGTAGTACAATGTTCTTTTGGTGTATGAATAAACTTCCACATAAAAAGTTGAAAAAACAAAACTATATTTGCCTGGCCTAAAACAAATCTATCCTGGCAGATTATTTGCCTTAGCGCATCTGCTAACAAGCTGTCAAATATCCAAAAACAAGCTGCAGAATACGCAGCGTTGATCATGGAAGAGTTGGATCGCGACCAAAAAGGATACATCATGGTTAGACTAGTTTTATTTCATGTTCAATGATCTCAATTTGAAAATCAATAGTATCATTTCAACTATTGATCAGCTGATTCAATTCGACAGCTTGAGAACTTGGAAATGCTTTTATTAGAAACCCCAATTCAATCAGATGGAGAAAAAGGCCTGAACAGGAACCTAAGTCATATGCTAAGCATGAAGCTTAAGCCAACACTGGAGACTAATCCCATAAAAAGATGGTATAACAATTTGAAGTACTTTTTGCTGGACAATTGGCGAAGAGTTTGGGTACTGTTATTATGGATTGGTGTCATGGCTGGCTTATTTGCTTACAAGTATGTCCAGTACAAAAACAAAGCAGCATTTAATGTCATGGGTCATTGTGTTTGTGTGGCGAAAGGGGCTGCCGAGGTACTTAAGCTAAACATGGCACTGATTTTACTCCCAGTCTGCAGAAACACTATCACTTGGCTTCGAAACAAGACTAAATTAGGTGGTGCTGTTCCCTTTGATGATAACATCAATTTTCACAAAGTAAGCTGTTCTTCTTTTCTCTTCTTCCAATTTATGCTGATTGTCAACTTATCGCCACCCTCATCTATTTGGGCTTGAGTAGGGACAGAGCTAGGAGGGTGCAAGGCGATTCATAGTGTATATGGTCAATTATTTTTTTATGTATATTTAGTGCACATTGAATCCCCTGACTTCTTTATGTGTACTTTATGTTCTAAACCCCTTAATGAAAATCCTGGTTCTGCCACTGGAGTGAAGACTGATTATGTGTACAAGCTTACACAAGAAAAACTAGCCATAGAATAATTGTTGTTTTTATCTGAAATTTTGTATCAAGTACCGGATTGTTTCTCTCCCTTTGTATAGATGGTGGCAGGGGCAATTGCAGTTGGTGTTGGAATACACGTACTTGCTCATATGACTTGTGATTTTCCTCGGCTTCTAAATGCTAGCCCGGAAAAGTATAAACCAATGGAGCCATACTTTGGAGATCAACCAAGAAACTATTGGCATTTTGTGAAGGGAGTGGAAGGAGTGTCCGGGATCATAATGGTGGTTTTGATGTCAATAGCTTTCACTCTAGCAAGCCAACGATTTAGAAGGAACAAAATTCGTTTACCAAGACCATTGAACAAGCTCACCGGTTTCAATGCCTTTTGGTACTCCCACCACCTCTTTGTCATTGTCTATTCTCTCCTCATAGTCCATGGTATCGAGCTTTACTTAACCAAAGAATGGTACAAGAAGACGGTTAGTCTACTCATCTTTGAATTTACATTTGTGAAATCAACTATAATTTCTTAATGTGTTTAACTTTTATACACTCACAACTATTAGATCAACTTACAACTTTGTTATAGTAATAACTACTAAAGAATGGGATCGGACTAATTTTCCTACTTGCAGACATGGATGTACTTGGCAATACCAATCATACTTTATTCTGGTGAAAGATTACTAAGGGCATTCAGGTCAAGCGTCAAGGATGTTAAAATATTGAAAGTAAGTTGAGTCCAAATCTATACATATAATTTAGTTATTCTTGATAATATCAAAGTTGTTGAGACAAATGATAAATTTACACTTAATATGGAGCTAGGTGGCTATGTATACTGGAAATGTGTTGACACTTCAAATGTCAAAGCCACAGGGCTTCAATTATAAAAGTGGGCAATACATGTTTGTCAATTGTGCTGCAGTTTCACCATTTGAATGGTAGGTGATGCTTAATAAATAAATTACTACTAATTAAGTGTCATGTGTTTCTTAATTTTGTTATTGTTCCTTTTCTTTTCTTGAATAGGGAAATGTGGGGGCAATCAATCTTCTATTGTCTATCTATACTGATTTGAATTTAATATTATATGCATTAATAGTACAAAAAATATTTACAGCAGAATTAGATAATTAACTTGATAGCATGTTAACTAATTGGTCATAGAAGTTTACGTTTCAAATAACGTTTTTCAGTATTAGGTGATCCAAAGGCTATCTATATGAAAGGGAAAATTGGTAACGATGTCATAAAAGGTGTAAAAATATGTTTAATCACATTGATTGTGCAAAAGACTTTAAATAGTAGGCTGATTCTGCAAAGTTCATTTCCTATTAATCCATTCATGCGCATCATTAATTAGATGACAAGACATTTAACTACGTTAAAAGAGTCATAATTAATTTCATTATTTATCTGCACTTGGTTGAATTTCTTTGATTTTTAACTCAATATACATACTGCTATTGTGATTTGGCACATGTTATATATATACCAGGCACCCATTTTCTATTACTTCAGCGCCTGGAGATGAGTATCTAAGTGTACATATTCGAATTGTTGGTGATTGGACTACAAAACTCAGAGATGTTTTCTCAGAGGTAAGCATTACTCCCTCAGTCCCATTTTATGCGGCAACACTTGACCGGGCACGGAGTTTAAGAAATAAATGAAGACTTTGAAATGTTTACCAAATTAACACCTTTAAAAAGTAGACTCTTTTTTCTCTCTCCTCATAAATGTATTGGAGTATTATTTTAAGATTAAGTGGGACCAACAAGGATAAAAGAGGAATTGTACCTTTATAAATTTACCATATAAGGAAATGTGACATTCTTTTTGGGACTGACCAAAAAGGAAATGGTGCCACATAAAATGGGACGGAGGGAGTATTAAAGTAATGTTTCCACTATTTTAATATTCAAATCATTGAACTTTTTCTTAATCATAACATAATATTTTATTATTATATATGCGTGACAGCCATCACCAACAGGAAGAAGTGGACTCGTTAAAGCTGACTACTTGCAAGACAAAATAAAGTGAGTCTTTTTTTTTATTATACAGTGCCCCCAATCACACTCAAAAATTGATTCACTTTAACAACGCATTAGTTAGTTAAACCTTCATTTTCACTTAGTTTATTCGTTTTGACAAAGCCATAATATTCGTTGTTCTATTAATCAAATATTACTGACTTTTTTAAAAATATGTTGACTCTCTGTGAGGTACAATAGTGTTAGGTTAATTTACTAATTTAAATTCTCCATGATCATAATTGACAAGATTTGTATACAATGTGTATGATATGACAGAAAACTTTTTTTTTTTAGTTTGTCCCAAAAATATGTCACCTTCATTACTTTAATAAGAAAAAAAATTAGTTTAAAATTTCTCTTTTTACTTTTAATGAAATGATTTGCAATAACACAAATATCTAATGACTGTTTTAGACCAAAAGTTTCAATTTTTTTTAAAAAATATTGTGTCAAGTCAAACTATACCACGAAAAATGGGATTGAGGGAGTATTTAACGTGGGTATATTCTCCTTCCTACAAACACAACTCTTCTTTTCCTCCCTTTACCAATAAGTTAAAAAAAATGTGGACGTTAGGAATGCTTGCCTTAATTATATATAGATTATTTCTTATATATTGTTAGGTTTAGTATTTTAAAAATAGTATTTATTGCATAAAAATACTTTTTACAATAATATCCTCCATAATTATGATGGAAAAGATATAAAAAAAAATGTTTTGAGGGGCAATAAGATCTTTAATCATGCTAATGCATGTATTAAAATTCATTGCATTACTAATATCATGAGTTTTCATGTATTAGTAATATACAACTCAATACACAATAGATATACATAGGTTGAAAAAATGCACTAATTAAACAAGATACCACTAATATACAAAACTAATACATGCATTATTTTTTCTAATATACTCTACCAGACGACCGTAAAACTATTAGCATAGCTGGTTATGATCACGTTTAATTATTTCAGTTACCCAAAAGTGTTAATTGATGGCCCATATGGAGCACCAGCACAAGACTATAAGGAATATGAGGTGCTTTTGTTGGTAGGTTTAGGAATTGGAGCCACCCCTATGATAAGTATTGTTAAAGACATAGTGAACAACATGAAGGAAGAAAAGTATGATCATGATTTGGAGAAAAAAACAGTGTCAGGGAGTGGAAGATCAAACTTCAAGAGGGTATATTTTTATTGGGTTACTAGAGAACAAGGCTCATTTGATTGGTTCAAGGGTTTAATGAATGAGTTAGCTGTAATGGATTGTGATGGAATAATCGAGATGCATAATTACTGTACAAGTGTTTATGAAGAAGGTGATGCTCGCTCTGCTCTCATCGCGATGCTTCAGTCTATCAATCATGCCAAAAATGGCGTAGACATTGTATCTGGAACAAGAGTTAAGACTCATTTTGCTAGACCTAATTGGAGAAATGTCTACAAACGCATTGCTCTTAATCACACTGATGCAAGAGTTGGTATGTACTTGAAACTTAGTATAATTTTATATATTTTTAAGAATTTCAACTATATATATGTATAGGCACAATAATTAAACATGCTTTTTAACTTGACATCTGCTGAATCTATGTCCTCCAACTTTGGGTGTGCACTAAAACTTATTTAAAATTGAACAAGTAAACACATGAGTCTTACAAGACAGTCTGCTTCCTATATCGCGTCCTATGTGTATTATGTCTCGTAAGATGTGTGTGTCTACTTATTTAACTTTATATAAGTTTAACTATCTACTTATACACACCTAAAATTGAAGAGCACAGATACCAATTTATGCATTATATATGGACCAAAAACAATGATTCACACATGCATGTGCAAATATCAATTTTGGTGACATTTTCCACACTAAAGTTCCTTTCAAAAAAGGAATTGGCACTAAGGAGATCACTTTCAAGTGACACCTGCTCTTGTAAAATTTGCAGGAGTTTTCTACTGTGGGGCACCAGCACTGACGAAAGTTCTTGGACAACTGGCCTTAGATTTTTCCCACAAGACATCAACAAAGTTTGATTTCCATAAAGAAAATTTTTGACCAACCATGGATAAGCAAAGGATCAAACCAAACAGATAAGAACGATTTTTAAAAAAAGAAGCATATCCACTACCTTTTTGTATAGAAAATCTTGCAGTTTTTGTTAATAAGTTGGGTTTTGTATTGTTATACGAATAGCAATTATTTTTGTGTAGGTCCACACACCACTGCATTGGATTACCAATTCAAATAATCCTTTTATTTCAATTTGTTCGTTTTGTAAAAGATAAATGTATGTTGATTTATCATAAACGATAATAAATGTCCCCGATAATATCCAATTTAAATATTGCATAGCTTTGTGATAGTATGTTATATTTTATTATGAATTTTTACTTACTTTCTCTGTCATAATTTATGTGGTACTTTTCGTTTTTCGGGAGTCAAACAGTTTAAGTTTGACTGACAATTTTTGCATGAAATCTTCAAATTTTTTGAAATGAAATTTATAGTATATTTATAAGCTACGTAAAAAGTACTATAAATCACAATTCAAAATATTTAAAAGATATATGAAAAATTTACTGTCAAATATAGACTTGTTTGAATCTCAAAACCTGGAAAGTGCCACATAAATTGAGACAAAATGAATATTTAATAAGATTGTAAAAAAAATTGGAGCATTTTTTTTAATATGGTTTTCACAACTTCTAGAATTTTTATGTTTAGAGTAAAAAATATAATTTAAAAACTAAAACTGTATATTCAAATAAAAATTTAATTTCATCTTATATTATTTCATATCATGATTTTATCTCATGTGATCAAACGAACCGTAAGAATACACCAGCCGAAAAGAGAAGTAAACTTTTAGAAATTTTAGCGAGCACCGCAAGAACAAACGTATGAATCCACACACACACATCAGTGAAACGAACGGTCTCGTCCTCATGGCTAATTACGTGGCGAGCTGTCCATGCGACTTTTATCACTGGCTAACCACGTTGACACCATGGTTCTTTTCCATTATATATATATATCCACGTTTAATTTTTCAGTTTTTTTCTTGTCTTTAATTGCTACGTTAATTGTCCCTAAAAAAAATTTGCTACTCCAATTTCTTCATCACCATCCCCATTAGAATATTGGGCTTTTCTTGCATTTTCCCACAAATATGGTACACTCTTCCTCTTCTCCCTTTTTTTTTTTATCACCTCTTTCTTAATTCAAAATTGTGGCTCTGCTGTTTCATTTTTTATTTTTATAGTGTTTACTTAAAATGGTACAGTACTTTTTACATCATTACCAATTTAACATGATAGTTGTTAACGTTCTGATTAGTGATTACTACTGTATTGAATGCAACTTGTTGTTTAATTTCCGCTGCAAGCTAGCTAGTTGTGCATAGGGGTGGTAAAATCAAACTCATAGGGTTGGGTTGATTATTGATACGCACATTTGTTAGCTCAATTTATTTCAACACATTAAAAATTGGATCAATATGTAACCCAAATTGATTTTTCAGAAATCTTGTCAAATATATATATATATATATATATATATTATTTTATTTTATTTTATTTTTCTTTTTTTGTATAGTTATAAAAAAAAAATTATTAGATATTAAAAATTTATAAAATAACAAATAAAGCTATTAAAATTTAGTAAAAATTGAGCGGGTTGGGTTATGATTACTAACCCGCTACCTAACCCATTTTGGCCCAAGCAAATTTGGGTTAAGTTGGGTCTTGACCCGTATATTGTGTTGACTCATTTTGACCCATTCAAATTTAATCCAACCCGCCCAATTGCCACCCCTAGTTGTGCATAGCTCACCCAACTATGCGAGTTGTGTGAGGCTTCTTTTTTGTTTCATATGTTGGTAGACAAATTTTTTAAGCCTCCAGAGAACTACTAACTTTTTTAGGTCTAGGCAAGTAGTGTTGGTCGTCACTGCAACAAATAAGAAATTTTGCAGCAATTATTTAGCAGTAATAATATAATTGTCATTATATTATTATCTTTAAGTGATAATAATATATATGAGTATTTATAGTTTGCACACTTTATAAATGGTATCAACTCAATTGCCACTAAATGTATTTGCGGCAAGGAAAATCTATTGCCACTAAATATTTGTTTTTATAGTAGGTGTGTGTGAGGTGCAAAATAATTTTTATCGCACATAGACAATTAACATTTAACATAGTTAGAAATTGTTGAATATAGTTTAACACTTTAAGAACTGAAATATCAGACTAGAAGGTGAAGAGTTTTAGGGTATGTTTGCTGTTTGGTATGAAGGAATATGTTTTTCATGAAAGTAAATTTTTTTTTTTTGGAAAATTAATGTTTGTTTGTTTGTTTTACTTATTTTTTGGTGTTTGGGGAGTAAGGTATAATGCAGCCAAACACCATGATGTAATTGAAGCTGAAAATGTGATTAGTGACAAAATGGTTAATTCGTGTTTCATCTTTAATCATCAAGCTATGCCTTTCCTCAAAACTAACATTTGTAAAGCAGGGGAGAATTTATAGAATGTTCTACAAAATTTTACCACAGAGCACCCGGGTTTATTCCCGGGACTTCACCTCAAGGTAGTACATTCAAATTCGTAATCCACGATAAAAATAGTGATCTTTGTTATTTGTTTGCTACTTTCTGTTTGATAATCTATAGTCATTGCTCAGGACAGTGGGAAATTAGGTCCTAAAAACTGCGGCGAAAACTTGGAACAAGCCAAAAATGAGTTTCCGGTATGTAAATGTGGATTCGACATGTTGGATGCTGGCTTTTTCAATGACTGTAAGGTACTGTGATGGAGTTAAATTCACTTAACAATTTGTTAGCTATGTTGCACGGATTATTCATGAATGCCGAGTGTTGTGTTTTGGATCCTCCAAAAGTAGCACATTTTTTTGGAGGATCTAAGTGCTCCCAACATTTTTGGAGAGCCTGAGCAAAATAGTTTGTTAGTACTCTTGCCTTTAATTGGAAAACTGAGTAAGGCTATTTTTGTGTCTGGTGCTGATTCTTTTCAGAAGCTTGAAATACAAAAGGGCGCAAAAGATTTTAACATTCCTATAATAAGATCGAACCGGAAGTTAGTTGCTACTGAGAATGGAGGTTTGAGTGACTCGTGTCCTTTAGTTTTCAATTCTGCATGGAAATCCCAAGAAGCAAAGCGAGTAACAGACAAGTTCAATTACCCTGCATCCTCTGGTATTCAAAGGCCAAAAAATGATGAGGATATTGCTTTCATGAGTGTAAGTGCACCTTATTAGTTAATGTTAAAGGAGCCGCGTTGCTCCAATGTTTCATTTGTTTAATTTTATTATTTGAAATTGTTTATCAGGTTCTTGAACTCGGGCAACTTCTCAAGGCAAAACTGCTTACATCCGAGGAACTCACTAGAATTTTTCTGAACAGATTAAAAAGGTATGGTGGATGCTTTGCTTCCATTTATCTGATTTGCATACTATTGAATACTCTGATTCTGAAAATGATGTGTTATGCCGGAGTGTTAAAAGGTACAGCCCTGTCCTTGAATCTGTTATCACAATAACTGAAGAATTAGCATTTCAACAAGCAAAAGAGGCTGATCAAGTGCTTGCAAAAGGCAAATATTTGGGTACAAGTCCACTTCCTCTCTTCCCCTTGGTCCTCGTTCGTGTCTCTCTTCTCCGCATTTTAGTTTTTGGATGTCATGAGAAAAATCTTTTAACATTTGTTCTTATGGAGTGAGGTGTTTGAAAAGAGAAAATTGAAATTTCAATTCAAAGGACCACAGATGCTTCTGTTCTTTATAGGTCCTCTTCATGGGATACCGTATGGTCTAAAGGACATTATTGCAGTACCAGACTATCCCACAACATGGGGTTCCAAATCTTTCAAAGATCAAGTTATTGATGTCGAAGCTTGGGTTTATAAGAGGTACTTACAAATTAATAAATGTAGAGGTCACATTCCGAAGCCAGCATATATTGTACATGTGTTTGTATAATAATTTGTAGATACGGTTGATGCAGGCTGAAATGTGCTGGTGCAGTTCTTGTTGCAAAATTAGTCTCTGGTTCTTTAGCTTATGATGATATCTGGTTCGGTGGTAGAACAAGAAACCCCTGGAATATCGAAGAATTTTCTACTGGTTCATCAGCAGGGCCAGCTTCCAGCACCTCAGCAGGTATATTGACTTAGCTTTCTCTAATACTCCCTCCGTCCCAATTTAAGTGCCTTAGTACCTACATCTGTTTCGTTATCTGCACGGGTGAGAGAATGGATTTTTACCAACCTTTAGCCATTTACTGATCCAAATGAATGGAATCTAACAGATATTGCATACTATGCCCAGTCCTGAAATTGGTTCTATAGATATGACCAGAAACGAGAAAAATAAATGCAGTATCTAAATGGTGATACGGAAGATGAGTCAACCATAACTTCGTGTTTTTTTTCCTAATAGAATACCCTGAGAAGAGATAGAATGGGCGGTACCGAATAAGATTAGTAAGGCAGAGTATATTGTTCTACAATGGTGTGTTCACATTGCAGGTCTAGTTCCATTTGCAATTGGTTCAGAAACTGTTGGGTCTATTACCTACCCAGCTACTAGGTGTGGTGTTACTGCAGGTGTACTTAAATCAAAGGGAGTGAATATGGTTCCATTTAATCTGGATTACAGTGTTGATAGTGCTCAAGGTATTGTTAGCTTCACTATGGATGTTGACATGCTAGCTCATTTTGACGAGTGGCAGCGCTCGAACCAGGATGATGAATTTGAAGCTCAAGACCAATGGCCTCTTGAACTTCGTCGTGCCCGCGTAATATCTGCTGTAGACTATATTCAGGTATATGTCACAATCTAGAAAATATCCTCTCTAGATGTTAAAACACATTGCCTTAGATAGAGCCCTATCCACTTTACCAATCAAATATTTAGTATAGCGTTAAAGAAGGAAGCTGTACTTCACAGGCACAGAGAGGTCGAAGCAAATTGATTCGGGAAGTGAAAGAGAACTTCACAGTTGATGCATTTATTGGAGGTTCGGGTGACTGGGAGAAAATTTGTGTGGGCAATCTTGTGGGTATGCCAGTAGTGGTGATTCCAACAGGTTTTAAGAAGATATCCAATGCACCGTCTGATGATACTCGCAGGAAGACAACAATAACTACAGGCATTTATGCTCCTCCTGACCATGATCATGTTGTAAGGCTCTAATCCTCTATCTTGTGTGTTTGGGATATAGGAACATTCAGAATGAATTTAATTTTCTCATATGTATATATGTGAACGCGCACACATGGTTAGAGTGGAAAGTAATGAGTTCAGCTCAGAACCTGTATCCGTCCTTGTTGCAAGATTTATGACCTTTGTCTAAGTGTAGTAGTAGTGACTTTCTAGAATTCTAGCAAAAGCATCATGTATTCAGAGTTTTGGTGCTGCTAAGGAACCCACCCTTATATTGATTTTGTGTGTTCCTTTTATGCGCAGGCTTTAGCATTGGCAATAGCGTATCAGTCAGTGACCAACCATCATAAGCAGCGCCCTCCAATTGACGACATTGGACCAAATGATTCAATTCCAAACCCACCCACTTCCGCTGTACCCGTGAGACAACTACGTGATTACTAATCTCTCAAGGGTGTTCAATGTCACTCTGTGTTGTCCTTTTAACTTGTTATTATAGATGTATACCACTAGTTGTAGTAGTCAAAGCTGTGTTGAATCATCTTCGCTTAGTGACAAAAGGAAGAAAATACTTCTCTCTCTTTTTGTTTATGCTAAAGAAGACCACCATTGGGGGCTTCTTTTTTGGTATATTCGTTTCATTCTGTAGCACTTTTCAAAAGTCGATAGTTTGGCTATATACCTCTTGCCATTGTTGCCAATAGTTTGTGATAGAACCCTGGGTTGACGTTTTAAATCGAAGAAAGGATCAAGAATAGTTGTTGTATGGTACTACTATTGATAAACAAAAGGCATCCAGGAGCAGCCTATATAAGCAACTTTATCATGACTTTTAGTTCAAGAACTATGGAAGAATACCTAACTTATATGGATCTGTCTAAATCTACATTGTCATACATTTTTCTTGTTAAAGAGGAAAAATCTCAAAAATTGGCGAAATGTTTGCTCGCCTGGCCATTAGGCAAGAAGGGATAAGAAAATAAAACAGTAACAAAGGGAAACAAAACAAGAGCATGACACCTAACTCAAGTATCTAAGTCCTTCTAGCAGGCACAAGTTTCTGTTTCAGAATCTCTAATTTTCACGCCTAGTCCTCCTACGAGGAGCAGCGGCGTCCTCATTCTGGTCTTCTTTCTTCTCCGTGGCTCCTTCCTTGTTTGAAGTTGATGCCTCGGCACCATCACTTTTCTTAGCCTTTCCAGTAGCTTTTGCCTGCACAAGCAAGAAGTGGTTATTTTAACAAACATACATACCCAACAGACATGAAACAAGTTTCATTCGTTTCCTATTTCCTTGTGTGTGCCTGGTTTGGGGGGCTGAGGCAGAGTTCAGACTTACAGGTTGCTGCTGTGTACCACCAAAGATGAGCTTCAAGAAAACTGTGAAAATGATAATTATGATTGAAATGACAGCACCAACTGTGAGATTGGGCTGTTTCTCAGCCTTCTCAAGAAGATCCTACAAGACAAGTCTATGTATTAGTCACACATACAAAAATGAAACAACATGCAACGTCAGAACACCAGGTCATTCACTCACCAATACTTTGGACTTGTGTTCGCCCAAGAAGGGAATGTCAGCCACCTTGTAGAGGAGATCAAGTACCATTTTCTGCCAAGTGTTCCAAATATATCTCAGATCAAGTGATGGAATGAAAAGAAAAATCAAGAACAATGGGATGTATCTTGAAGAAAGTGTAAACAATTACCTGGAATCCTTTGAGCCCACCAGTGCTTGCTGCTTCCTCTGCCTTTTGTTTCTCTTTCTCTGTGTCAAACTTGGGCTTCCATGCAGTCATCCTGTACGATTCTGCAACTTTCTCATCACTTGTTATCATGATATTGTCAAATAATATACCATCTTGCATTGTCCAGATTTCAATGCCAATTGCTGCAATAGGCTCGAAATTGGGCCTGTCGAGTTTGAAGTAGTTGGGATTTGGAATATCTCTTGGCTTCCAAACACCCTTGTAATTGGGATTCTCAATCAGTGGAGCATGCCATTTTCCATTGTATGCTGGATTTCTCTTCATTGGTCTTGTCCACTCCCCACACCCAGGGACTAATTCACACTTTGGATTGTCAATTTTGGGAGCCTCCCATTCACCATCTTCATCGTCAACCCAATCTTCAGGCTTTGTTGCCTCAGGATCATCGATCTCTTCAGGCTCGTCATCCAACCATCCCTCAGGCTTCTCAGCATCCTCATCTTCAATTTCCATTGGTGCATCCTCATCCCAATCATCTGGTTTCTTAGCATCTGGATCTGGAATTTTTTCCCTCTCATCCCAGTCCTCAGGCTTCTTATCATCTGGGTCTGGAATGGTCTCTGCTGGAATAAGAGGTGGCTCGATATCATAATCTGAGAGTAAGTCAGCCTTCTTCTTCTGTTCCCCGTCAACTAAGATTAACAACTCATTGTTGGGTTTCAACACCGCAGTGTAAACATGGGTTAGTTTGTCAGAAGGTACAGATGGTGGAAACTTAAGGTGGTGCTCAATGTACTCCCCGCTCTTAGGATTCTTATGCTTCAAGATGAAATGTATCTTGTCTGTGGCTCCACATCTATCTGGTCCAAACATTATAGTATACGGAGACTCATTGCTGAATTCCTTGGGAATCCACCCTGCCTCCTGGGGGCGGAGGTATTTAAGATAAGCACCACCACATTCAAGTCCTTCCTGGAGGCGAACTTCATATTGAAGAACCATAGTTCCATCATTGAGGCTGACAACAGTGTCAAGCTCCTTGACAATAGCATATTTCTTTGCCTTCTCACTCACAAGAAGCCCATGGTCATCATGTCCCTCACTCTTGGCATGTTTCCACACACCTGAGACACAATTTGAACTCCATATGAACACTTGAAACTTTAACAATCAAAGATCGACTCAGCATTGTAGAAATAAAGACATTGCACAATGTTATAAGGCACGCTCGAGGGTGAGAAATTTATTATGAATCAAAGATTGAGTTAGCATTATAGACATAAAGATATCGCACAAATATCTAAGACAGGCTAATATGACACATAAGCAAGGAATTCTATATGCTTCGAAACAAATGGATTTTGAGCCATATCTGTCACTGGGAACAGAGTTCTGCAGCATAAACATAAAGTATTTCAACTCCAGGTTCATAATTTGGTGGGGTGGCAAATATACAGTACACCTTTGAAAAATTAATGGATTTGAATAATGGTATATATTCAATGGACTACACTGAGCATTTTTATCACCTTCTTTACCTTGATTATGTAGGTATAGACAGATGCTGTCACAAGCAACATAATAAAGATATTAAATTGAAGATCCCTCCTTCCTTTTTTTAGTTGTATAAGCATTGAACACATTAATCAGCATAACTCTTTAAGTTTCTATTTGATATTTTGGCTTTTTCTTCACTACCTCCACCCTCAGTCAAGGCTAATAATAATGCATTATCCATAGAGTTGCTGTTTAATTTCCATACAAATTAATGAATGATGACATGAATCTGAAAGATATTCGCGGATCATAGTAGGAACAACTAGCATATACCAATACAGTATAAGAATTAACCGTCAAAGAGAAGATCATAAAACAGATGAAGTGAACCTCGTCACCCTCATTCATCCGCCCAAATTCAAAATTCTAACTACAATTTTAAAGAAAAGAGAACACCAATTGATCTCATTTTATGTTGCATTCTGGATGACTGCTTCTTTTATATACACTTCCCTAATCATCGAAAACTCAACATCCAAATTTTAAACTTCGGTGTAATTTTTCTAAACAAATCAACTTTTCAAGTATTATGATCTGTCAAATTCCAACGGAATACTTATAACAGATCCAGAGAAACACTTACCATTAAACTCCTCTTTCTCCGACACAATCCAACGCCCATCAAATGCCTCATCGAACGACTCGTAAAATTTCTACAATCAAACAACAAATTCTCAGCCAACGCATCACATGCACCATTAACATGATCCAGTAGACACACTATTGCGATAACAAACACGATCACAAATGCAATTAGAGATATACATCTTACCACATCCGAAGAAGCGCAGAGTTGAGAGACGAAGCAACCGGCCAATAATAACAATGCAAATTGCGTCCACATCCTCCGATTCCGCTCTTCCATAACCAAATATGGAATACTCACTGAAGAAAAAAAAATAGCAGAGATCTGAATAGGTATAGAAGAAGAAGAGAAAACAGAGTGAAATTTGCGGGGAGGAGAAATTCAGAGTATAAATAAATGTGGCGACCAGTTCGGGCAGTTCATACCTCGTGAAGTGGACCAATGAATATATGACACGTTGGTTGCCGCGACTTCAACGAACACCCGCAGGGGAAGTTGGATCTACGACTGGGATAGTTTTGTGTACACTTCAATTTGGTGGCTCTAATTTTTTTTCATTATTTCATCAACTATATAATGTTTTATTTTATATTGTTACGTAATTTCATCGAAAGTTTATGTCATGATATTCAGAAACCACACATATCATTTTATGGTTTATCCATCAATTTGGTTCGAATTTCATCTTATACAGTCATAAAATACCTTATTAGATATGCAAACTTTTCTAATACTCAACTTTTAGTTTTCAAATCCAAATAATTCATTTGATAGTTGCTAACTGGCTATGGAGCTCCATAAGATTCTTCCAACTTTTGAGGGTTCAAAGTGTTGGGTAAAAGAAGTGGACAGTGCAAACTGCTTGCAATCTATAAAGAGAAAAGCATTTGGACATGATTTCAAGTGGTGATTTGAAATCAATGATTTAACATCATGCTGATTTAGAAATTGAATCTTTAGTTGGACGTAAAAATGAATTTTTTAAGTTGTATTTTTTTAATAAACATAAAAGTTCATGTGATAATTATTAAATTATTATACAATCTTATCATATGAGTAAATTATCATTCATAAACAAGGTATCAAAATATTCTAAAACGTCATATCCGTAAATTGCATATTTTGATGTTTCTTTTATGAATAAATGTTTGTGATCATTTGTTATTACAAACTCTCTAATACACATAATTTTACAAAGATCAAATAGTCAGCAATAGTACTAATTAGTTATTCTTCAATATAATCTTTTCAAACGATACGAACAATTCTTTTGCAAACTTTGAAATCCTACCTTTTAGAAAATTTGAAATTCAAAATCGTGATTTAAATTAAAGCTTAAATTTTAAGCAGAATTGATAAGCAAAACCTTATGCAAACACCTACTTATATTAATAAAAATAAAATACTCTACTTTTGTGAAGGCTGCTAAGTGCTAACTTGCTACAACTGTTTTCCCCTCTAACATTTTCCACACTTTAATTGTATTCTTTAACTTGCACCTTTTGAGAAGGCACATTCCATTTCTCTCCACTTGTCAGCTAACTTTAGCCCCCCAAATTCCAAATGGTATTTTCTTTAATCTTTTGCTTTTTCTCCACATGGAGAGTGGATAGATTTCCTTGTCTTTAAGTAAATAAAATCTCAAAAATATGTGTTTGAAAGAGATGACACACATTTGTTTCATGTGGTAGATAAACAGGAGGACCTAATATATATAAACATAATAATTCTAGGAGAGTGACCCTTCTAGAATTGTCATTTCTCTACCATGGTGAGGAAGTATTGGGTTCCACAACTCCACTATCCATACATATAGTCTTCTTGAGCCCAAAAGAAACCATCATCTCAAACTAAGACACAACAAAGATGTGGAGAAAGAAGAGAAAGAAGAATATGACAAAATCAAGGATGACAATGAAAACAAGTACCCCTTTAATGCATCTAATCTAAGTGGATGTCAAGGACTCACAGGCAAGTCATTGTGGCAAAGGGAAGGTTATGCCTTTCTTCCAGATCTTTTTTTTTTCTTTGTTGTGTTTTGGGTTAATGTTTTTCATATACATTCAAATGTTCGGCTGACTTTGAAGCTTCACTTGAAGTTTCACTGTATATGTAATGTATGCTTGTTTTGGGTTGAAGTTCCTCTTAATACAGTGATTCTTGTTACCTTATCGTGTCGATGTATCCTGATTCCTGTCATCCTGTTCTCCCCAATTCCACTACTTTCTTGGCACACTTTAGTCTTCACCAGTAAACAAGTTATAAAGAAACGTGTTTGAATCATAACAGAGAGACTCAAAGCATGTATACACAATGGAACTAAGAGCCATTTATTTCAACAAAATCAGAATAAGATGCAGTTCTAGCATTAAACATCAAAACCAACACATGAATGAGCAAACATGGAGTAGAAGATTAATTACTTCAAAATGTGTCAAGACTAACAAGATGGACAATATTATAGTCAGAATGCCATTAAAAAAAGTACCGAGCAAAGAAAAAGTTCTCTTGTCCAACTCATTCGTTAAAAACCTAGTTTAAAATATATCATAGCTGAAAAGCACCTCTAGCAAGTATCAACCCAAGACCATCATATCCTTCTCTTTAACCCTAAAAGAGCATCCTTCAGTAAGTTTTGCGCGGCCACCAGTTGGCTGGCATAGCACTTGCTGGCAATTGGGGCATGTAACCACGGTTTGTGAGTGGCTGAAAATTGTTGTTCTGTAAGAATAAGATAAAATTATTAGTACATAAGTAGTAACACGCTTGTAAAAACGAGGATATTAACCACTAATTTTCAGTTACTTACATTTGGAAGCAGCCTTGACATTTGACATCCTGCGACAGTATATATACGTTAAACAAGAGCAAGGCAAGGAATCATATAATGTAAATACATATATCAAAGGAAATCTAAAATATCAGTGATTGATAGTAGATTACCAGAAAAGTAGAATTAGGTGATTGGACCAAACGCTTAAGCTTGTGATTTTGCTTCTCAAGCTCAGCAGGAGGGTGAAGCAAGTCCGTGTCATTTGAAATCTTTGGAATACCCTGATAAAGCCACAGGAAAAGAACATGAAACCACAATTGCCAACTAACCCAACGTCAAAATCTTGAAGAATTTCAAGTGGTCACTCACCATATTGTCTTGAAGCTTTTGTACGATCACAGATGTTGCAAGTTGCTGTCAATCAAATGAAAGCAGAAACTAAGAAAATTAAGAGATCGTACCAAAACATTCATAAAAGAAATTGCAGTAGGTAATAGAGGGGGGCCAAGATCAGCAAGTCATGTCTTCGAGAAACAAACCCAATTAAAAGACATAGCACATTCATCAATAAAATCAGCTATGAATCTTTTACATCAATTTACCTATATTCTAGCCCATTCCATGATAAAATGGAACCCCCTTGCCCTTAGTTGCACACACTCTGCACTTTGATGCAGCACCCTTGTTGGATTCATCAAAAATACACTACTTTGGCGAATCCACAAAAAATACACTATTTTGGCAAATCCAACACGCACCCATTGGCATTTGCCTTCCCCTAATCCTAAAACTATGAATTCTTCAGATCTCATTATGGATATATAACCCTTCTGGTATGAATAGTTCATCCCTATAGGCATGCATACTCAATTGTCAACGTAAGGCATGCCCAAGTGAGTACATGTACCAACAGATTCAGTCCTCATAGGCTTACAAGACGTATAAAAATAAAAGCTGAAACTTATTTTGCCTAATTCTGCACAATAATGTAGTTAATGACCAAGGTTTCAATACTCATTTTTCTTTCCCCTCAAACAACAATTTATCACAAACATGGGGATCTTTCTAAGATACAAACATAGACTGGCTCCCCAAAAATATTGCATTATAAATGTATTCTGCTTACACATTTACATAAATTTTAAACCTAGGGATCAATGACCAATACACTGATAGATTAAACAAACAAACAACAACATACCCACCCAGTGTAATCCTTATACACAATCGGCTCAAATATACATATAGATTCATATTTTCTAATAATCACGCATGCAAGTACAAGATAAAAAGAATACAATTCTAAGAGATGATCAGAAAACGAGAGTTACCTCCAATAAAAAAACCCTAAGCTCTGTTCCTTCTTTGCCTCTGTGAGGTAGAATAGGCTAAATTTATACTACTAGCTTTCACCTATTGGGCCTCTAAAGAAAGTCTGAAAAATTTTCGGCCCAATAATAATAAATATAGTAAGTAAATCTTCTCAATTAATTTATTTATTTTAGTGAGTAAAGTAAAATAAGCAAAACAAACTCCTGTAACGTATGCAACTCTTGTCCAATCCAAACTGCAAGAAAATATACCCCAGCACGATGAATCATTATTATTTTTATTAATTTGGAGAAAAAAAAGTATTTTAGTTTTTTGCAAAAAAAATGAAAAAGTATTTGAGTAGCTTTTCGCTATTTTGTAAAACTAGAAACTTCACTATAAAGTTTTTAATTGAGAGACTGTTCATAAAGATTAAAAACCTCTCATAAAATGCATGTTCGTAATTCATCAGATAAAACATGTCCCAAAAGAAAAAGGTTCCGTCTTTAATTTATCTGCAGTTGCACTTGAGCCGAGGGCTTTTCGGAAACTACATCTCTACCGCCATGAAGTAATGGTAAGGTCTGTGTGCAATCTATCCTCTCTAAACCGTGAATCACACAATTTGTTGTTTCTTTAATTTACCAGCACTAATGCGTTGATTAACACGTGTTTGTAGAACTAGAATATTATTTTAAGTCTTAGGATCATATTAAATAGATGATTGTACAACTTACTTTACACTTATAGAGCATTAGAGGTTAGTTTTTCTTGACTTACAATTACCATTATTATTACAATTGTTTTATTTGTGCATAAAGTAAGTGCAGAGAACATAAAAGAGTTGAATCTCACTTGCATATAATCCATATAGCAAAAACCTTAAAGGTCTGCACCTCACTGTATTCATTTAACATTTACTTGGCAAAAAGTGTAGAATGGATATTCCTATAACTCAGACATACATTGTAAAAGAGGACTATTCTCAGTTGCCAACGTAGTCATTTGTCAGTTGAATCTACAAGAGAAAACTCTATAACTACAACCCCCGCCGATATCGAATGGGGAGTCAAAAATCAGGTGTATGATTTTGATAATCATATCACCAATGAGCTAAATTTATCTTATTTAATGTCACATTATCATCATCATCATCTTCATCAGCATCAGCATCAGCAGTTTGAACCTTAAATCTGTTGCTGACTCTATGTCAGCTAATCAAGATCTAGACTCTTTTTCATTGATTCGTATACAAGATAGGTTATGCTTGCTGCTGGCACAACTTTTAAAAGATTTGGAAAAAGTCCTTTGTAGAATCCCCTGAAGCCTTCACGCTGAACTGTTTTTCGGAACACATCAGCCATACCTTTGTATGCAGAATCAGCTTGCATTCTAGAAAGAATACAATTTAGAGTTAAAAAAAAAGGGCACGTCACTTGATAAACCAGAAAGCTACACCATCCAAATAAATAGAAGGGGAAGAAAATGGCAATTGTTTGGATCCAAGAATCAAACTGCAGGTTTACCTGGTCCGAATAACCTGTAAAGGATAAACACATGTCGCTCCCAGGGCTCCTGAAATTGTCCCACACCCCAGTTGCACGAGAGGGCCGGCTTCTGCATTACATGCACAATTCGTAGGAAATTAGTTTTCATTGTCTTGGAGAAAATAGGTAGTACTAACAGTTGAGAAGGCACAAGTTAAAGCGGTACCACTATCATGAAGAATGTAAACCTTTGACAAATCCTTTAAAGTTTCATATGCTGCTAAATCAATGCCTGCATAAGGGATGATTCCAAGTAGAGATGGTACCAATCCTCTATAAAATGCCCGAGGTCCCTCTTGTATAAAAATATCTTTTGATAGTTTTCGCAGACTAGGAACGCTTCCACTCTCACATGAATGAGTCTGTAACCGAGTTTTAACAAGATCCATGGGATAGATAGCAGTTTGTGCTATTGCACCTGCCATTCCACCAGCCACAAGACGCCCAGAAGTTCCTATGTCTCTCTGGTCTTCAACACCCCTGGCACGACCAATAGCATTTTTCAAGGTTTCATATGCGTAAAACTTAATTGCACTTTCTGGTGCAACCTTCAACACATTTAACCCATTGCCACGGAAAAACCCCAATAGACCACCTTCCTTCCATATGCTTTTGACTGCAGGACCAATTGAAGCATGAGTTGTTTGCACTTGTAAAATGACCTTAAGGCGATCAAGAGGTGCTGTGGCAGTACGAGAAGCAGCTCCTGCAACTCCCCCTGCAATCAGGTATTTGGATGCATGAACATGCTTACTGATGCCTTCCGGAATGACTGTCTGCTCCCCAATATCTACAAGACATACCCTCTCCAAGTATTGGTAAATATTCTCAATGGTGGCCTCATGAGGATAGAGTAGAAGAAAATCCCTCCATTCCTCAAAAGTGATAATTCCATTATTATCCTTGTCCACGTGTTCCACAAACCGTGCGAGTTCATCATCATCTAATTCTATTCCTGCAAGAAAGAAACTGCCCTAGCTTATAAGAGGAAGACAACTAAAAAACATGGAAATGAGCATGGAAAACTCCTCTAGCCAGAAACAAAATAGATTCCAAGAGAAGAGAATCATAAAGGAAATCATTGAGTGATAACAGAGGAGAAATTAGTATGTAGCTAATAAATGGATAATCCAATTTGAATTTGTTATGCAAATTCATTAATGGGCCATCGTTTTGGCACCTTTATTTAGTAAGCATGAAATTGAAAAAAAGTACTTTTCCTGCAGACAGAGAAAAATGGACCAGGAGAGCAAGGGAACTTAATACTGATGGGCAAGCCAAAATAGACTGAAAAGCCCTAAAATTTTGTGTCAACAATTTACCAAAGGCAACGAGTAGAGCAACCATGCTCTAGGAAAGAACAAATAATTATTTTCCAAGTGCCCATATTTAGATTCTAGAAAAGAATAAAATTAATTAAAGCACAAAGTATCAACAGTGTCACGCACATAGCTAATTATCATATGAAGCAACATTACTGAATCTGTAGCATAAGGGAAAACGAAAAAAAAAAAAAAAATGGACAAAAAGAAAAAAAAAAATTACGACGGGAAAACACCATCTGAAGGACTTAGTTGTCAGGCACCTTACCCTATTTCTTGCATGAGAAATCTCTCAATTTCCCACAATTAATAGGGAAGCTCATACGTGGTGGTAATAGTGAAGGTACATACAACCCAATTCATACTGTACAATTCGAACATAAGCCCTGTTTGCATTGAATTTTTTTTAGGTCAGCTTGTTTTTTTGAATAAGAGGTCAGCTTGTTTGGTTAAGAAATAATCTTAGGTTTTTAAAACAACCCAAAAAGCTTTTCAACAAACAAAATTAACCAAGTAAATTTTCATTATTTTCAAAAAACAACTGAAGTATAGATGTAGGCACAACAACCAGTTGGAAATAAGTTTCAATCTTTATTGGTATGCTGACAGTAGTCCCATATTTATCAAATGTCAGTTTGTTTAGAGATTTGTGAGTCAGTTCGGAATAAGCATGAGAGTAAAAGAATCTCGAGTATATGAGAACAGAGACAAATTATTAAGTTTTTTTTTTTGGATGAAGCAAGTGAGATTTCATTAAGGCATCCAGTAGATGCAAAGATACAAAAGGGGGATCTGTCAGCTCAGTAAGAACAAATAACTTATAGAGCTAAGAGCTGACAAAGTCCAGGTAGTGATCTAAGATATTTACAGGGGAAAAGTTGGCCCAACTAAAAAGGTTAACCAAACAACTAGCCTTAAGCTTACAATTGGAGTCAAAACTCCATCGAAATATCTCCTGTTTCTTTCATTCCAAATAACCCAAAAAATACAAGCTGGGGTCATGATCCAGATTTTTCTGATGGATTTTCTAACTTCCATAGAGCTCCAACTAGTGTAGGCATCTCTGATATTGAAGGGCATGGACCAACTTATACCAAAAAGCGCTAGGAACATGCTCCAAAAGTGTTAAAGTTAAACTGACTCAAAAGAAGCAGAATTGATATGGAAAAGGGTAGTCCTGTTGTTTTGCTCATATTTACGGAAAAAACACACAATCCATACACAATTGGTTTCCCTAACGCTTACAGAATTGCTTCAAAA